CTCTGGGCATCTTGGAATCTCTGGGTTTCTGAGTCTCTATGGGTGTCTCTGAGTCTCTTGGTCTCTTTGGGTTTCTTGGTCTCTCAATCTCTCTTGTCTGAGTCTTTCCTTGGGTCTTGTATCTTTGTCTCTCTAGTCTCTCTGGGTTTCATGGTCTCTCCGTCGCCACCTCCCATGCTCCCTGAGGCCTGTGAGGCCTTCCCTGACTACCTGGTCTCCACCCTGTTGCGTGTGTGTGTGGTTCCCCTCGTGTACTTGTTGTCGGCCTCTCCCAGAAAGGAAACTGTGAACCCCGCGGCCTCCATAGCAAGCCCCCTAAACATGTTACTAAAGAAACTATAATTGAATCAGCTCATGTTTTTCCCAGCCACTCCATGAAGTGGGTATATTGGCAGCCTCGTTTTACGAATGAAAACAACAGCAACTAAAACACAGAGTTTGGGTTGTCTCTGAGAGGTTAAGTGACTTACTGCCAGCCACACAGCTGGTGGAGAGCCACATTTCAACCTGGCTGCCTGGCCCAGGCCCCACGTTGAGGCATAAGCTGGAGGGCCTGGCTGTCTGGTCCAGTGCTGTTTCTGGACAGGGCCTGACACAGAGAAGGTGTTCAGCAACACTGCGAATGAATCCCCCAGACTAGCTGTGTTTTCCATCTCTCTCTCCCCACCATAAATAAGGCTAGAGACCAGTAAGGGGGTACAAAAAGAAGCCTGCAAGTGGGCTAAGCGCCTTAACCCAGCTGGGCTTCAGGCTCATTCCCTTCAGTGCCAGCCTTGGGGATCTGACACTCTACATCGGGGAGAACATTTTTTTTAACTTTTTATTTTGAAAGAATTTAGGCTCACAGATGTTGCTAAAACAGTATGGAAAGTTGTTGTGTCCCCTTCACCCAGCTTCCCCCAATGGTAACATCTTACATAACCATCGTACAGTTAGAACCAGGAAATTGACATTGGATTCATCAGGGATGAATCATTCAGATTTCATCAGTTTTTACAAGCTCTCACTTTTTTTTTTTTTTTGTGAGGAAGATCAGCCTTGAGCTAACATCCATGCTAATCCTCCTCTTTTTGCTGAGGAAGACCGGCTCTGAGCTAACATCTATTGCCAATCCTCCTCCTTTTTTCTCCCCAAAGCCCCAGTAGATAGTTGTATGTCATAGCTGCACATCCTTCTAGTTGCTGTATGTGGGACGCAGCCTCAGCATGGCCGGAGAAGCAGTGCGTTGGTGCGCGCCCAGGATCCGAACCCGGGCCGCCAGCAGCAGAGCGTGCACACTTAACCGCAAGCCACAGGCCAGCCCAGCTCTCACTTTTTAAATTTTTGTGTGTGTCTAGTTCTATAACTTTTATCGTATGCGTAGATTGGTGTATCCACCACCTCGGTCAGGACACAGAACAGTTCCATCACCCCAGAGGACCTCCCTCACGTTATCCCTTTAGAGTATCACAGTCTCCTCCCCACCCCTGCCTCTGGCAACCATTAACCTGTTCTCCATCTCTATAATTTTGTCACATTAAGAATGTTATATAAGTGGAATCATACAGTATGTGACCTTCTGAGGTTGGTTTTTTCACTCAACATAGTGCCCTGGAGATCAATCCAGGTTATTGCATGTGTCAATAGTTCATTTCTTTTCATTACCAAGTAGTTTTCCATGGTATGGAATGGATTGTTTCCATTATGGACTCTTACCAATAAAGCTGCTATAAATGTTTGTGTACGGTTTTTATATGAGTTTTTATTTCTCTAGGGTAAATACCTAGGAGGGGTCCTACGGTAAATGTATGTTTAACTTTATAAGAGATTGCCAAACTGTTTTTCAGAGTGGTAATTTTGGTATTGTCAGTATTCTTTATTTTAGTCATTGTAATAGTGGCTTTAATTTGCATTCCCTAATAGCTAATGATATTGAATATCTTTCCACATGCTTATTTTCCGTGTGGGTTGAATTGTTTCCCCCCAAAAGATGTTGAACTCACTCCTCCCCACCCCCATCTGTGACCTGTGAATGTGATGTTACTTGGAAATAAGATCTCTGCAGATGTTATCAAGTGAAGATGAGGTCATACTCCATTAGGGTGGGTCCTAATCCAATATGACTGGTGTCCTTAGAAGAGAGGAGAGCCAGAGACAGACACATACGGAGAGGAGAACACCAGGTGAAGACAGCCTGTGACAACAGAGGCAGAGACTGGAGTGATGCAGCTGCAAGCCAAGGATTCCCAAGGGCATGGCCCCACTGACACCTTGACTTTGAATTTCTGGTCTCCAGAACTGTGAGAGATAATAACTTTCTGATGTTTTAAGCCCCCCAGTTTGTGGTACTTTGTTATGTGGCAGCCCTAGGACACTCATACATTTTCCATCCATGCATCTTCTCTAACGATATGTCTTTTCAAACCTGTTGCCTATTTGTTAACTGGATGTTTGTTTTTTTACTGTTGAGTTTTAGAGAGTTCTTTACATATTCAAGATAGAAGCCTTTGTCAGATGTATGATTTGTGAATATTTTCTCCCAAATGATAGCCCATCTTTTCATTCTCTTAACATTGTCTTTCACAGAGCAGTCTTGCATTTTGATGATGTGCAATTATCAAATTTTTTTTGTATGGATTGTGGGAAGGATTTCAAAGGCAGGGATTCTCCCGTCCCTGAAGGCCTCAAGAAGCCCCAGAGAGTGGACAAAACCGAGAGCAGAGAAACGCAGCCAAGGGCAGGCCACAGTAGAAGAAGGAGCCAGAGGCTTGGGGCTTCCAAGCTGCTCTGGCTGGATGTGTATGAGGCCACGTCCAGAGGGGAGTGGGGTGGGCAGGAGATGGGAGGATGGAAAAGGTAGCGATGATCCCTGAGTGGGCATGGCCAGAAGTTGCCATAGAACACGGATCCAGGAGCCCGAGGGCAGCCAACCTTCCAGGCCTGTTCTGGGCCCCTTTCCTCTGCCATGCTCCCTTCATTGCCTCGTGTATTCCACTGGCTTCAAATCCCTCCAGGGACTCTAAAGTTTCCTCCCAGCCCTGATGCTCCAAGTCCACACTTATCCCTCTGGCTGCCTCTTGGACATCTCCTCTTGTTTTCTCCAGACACCTCATTATCTGCCCCCACCAACCGGTTCCTTCCTCTGTTTCCCCATCTACTGACCAAGAGTTGCTCAAAAATAACATAAGAAAAAACTGGGAGTCACTGTTTTTAAGTAAACCTTTTATTGTCGCACAGCAGCTAGACAGAATAGCGCACAGATCAGAAATGAGTAGCTGGAGGAATTTTCAGAACACACCCGTGTAGCCAACAGCCAGGTCGAGAAACAGCGCGTTACCAGCGGCCCGCATGCCCTCTCCCTGCAAGGTTAATCACTGTTCCGGACTCTATCAGCATAGGTTAGTCTTGCCTGGCTTTAGACTTTATGTAAGTAGAAGCCTGCAGTAGGTTTCCTTTTAGGTGAGATTCTGCCGTGCTGCTCCTTCATTCCCCTTGCTGGGCAGTGTTCTCTTGGATGCATATCTGGAAGCATTTCTACCTTCTTTCTCACCCCTAACATCCACTGAATCTTGTGGATTCTAGCTCAAAATTATCTCCCTAATCCATGCCCGCCTCTCCTCCCTCTGCCTCCTCCCTGGGCCAAGGCGGCATTATCTCCTGCCTGTCTACCTCAATGGTCCCCTAAACAGTCTCCCAAGTTCCTGGGCTCTTGGCCCTCGCTAGAGCTGCAGTGATCTTTTAAAAATAGTCCTTTTGATAAAATACAGACTCCTCAACTGCGGTACTTATTTGATCACTGTCTGCAGTCATCCTGCTTCCTTGTTTCCTTACTTCTCCTGCATTCTTCCCACGAGTGCCTTCAGAACAGGGATCTCATCAGCCTTGTCTGTCCCCAGACCCCCAGCCCTGACTCAGAGCCTCCTGTGTAAGCGGTAAGGTCATGTTGGCCACATGTGCTGGATGAATAAATGGCTTACAAGGCCCTGCACCAGCTGCCCTTGCTCATCTCTCCAGCCACATCCCTGGCCCCGACTCTCCGACACCGCCCTCCCGCTAGACCAGCTGCTTTCAGTTCTTCTGTCAACCCCGCCCCCTTCCCCCAGGCCTTTATACATGCTGGCCCTTCCCCATAAAACAAGGGGTCCTCCTTCTAGGATGATTCTACTTCCTACCCTGTGTTATGTTTACCCGTGTGGTTGCTTCAGTCAGTGGAATTTGAGCAGGAATGGTTTATGCCACAGAAGCTTTCCGAGCTCCCAGGGCATTTTGCCCTTCTCTTCTATCTGCCCCGGGCCTGGTGTGCCCCAGGGGTCTGGAATAAAGAAGACATAGAGCAGATCCAAAGCGAAACTGTAAAGAGCATGTAATATGAACAAGAAATAAACTGGTTTTTGAAAGCCACTGAAATTTGGGAGTTGTTTATTATTGTATTGGATCTCTATTTGCTGCTATAACAAATTCTCACAAATTTAGCAGCTTAAAATCATACAAATCTATTATCTTACAGTTCTGGAAGTCAGAAATCCAAAATGGGTCTCATTCTGCTAAAATCAAGGTGTCAGCAAGGTTTCACTCCATGTGGGGGCACCTGCATTCCTTGGCTCGTGGCCTCCTTCCTCCATCTTCAAAGACAGCAGTACAGCATCTTCAAATCTCTGCCTCTGACCTCTCTTCTATGTTTAAGGACCCTTGAGAATACACTGGGCTCATCTAGATAATCCAGGATAATCTCCCCATCTCAGGATCCTTAATTTAATCACATCTGCAAAGTCCCGTTTGCCACATGAGATAATATGTTCCCAAGTCCCAGGAACTGAGATGTAGACATCTTTGGGAGGTCATTATTCTGCCTACCACATTCATCACAGCATAATTTATACTATGCTAACTAATAATACTATTTGTAAAATAGTATTAGCACTGCATGCTATTTATAAAAGATACATACAAAACAAAAGGATATAAAAAGTTTGGAAGTACAAGGATAGAAAAAATATCAGGCAAATACTAAAAGAAAACTGGAGTAGCCATATTAGTATTAGAAAAAATAAATTTCAGGCTACAAGCATCACTAGAGAGAAACAGGGTGCTTACATGGTGATTTTTAAACTATACAGCAATTTTAAAGTTATTTACTCTGAAAAAATAAAATCAATAAGCAATAAAGACATATTAATATATATATAAGTGGATAGAACCACAAAGAAAAACAGACAAATCACAATTGTATTTGTAGACTCGATGGCACATGCAGGCAAAAAAATTGACAAAGATATAAAAGATATGAAGCATATAGTTAACAAATTTGACCTAGTGGACAATTATGAAGCACTGCACCTAACAAATGCAGACTAGCATACACAACATTTTCCAATAAATTGATCAAATTCTAGACCATAAGGCAACTCAACTAATTTCAAAAAATGAAAATCATTCAGTCTGTGTTTTTTGATCACAATACAATTAAGTTAAACATTGCCCACAAACAGATAAATAGAAAAAAATCCTACGTGTTTTAAAATTAAGAAACATTTTCTGAAACTTATGAGTCAAGGTAAAATACCTTGACGGAAATTAGAAAATCCATTATAGGTTAGTGTTGTTTCAGATTGCAATCATAATGAAACTATTATATGTCAAAGTTGAGGACAGCTGATAATTCTTAGAGAGGATTTGTGACCTCAAATGCATGTATTAAAAATAAGAAAGGATACAAGCTAACGAGCTAAGCTCCGTCTTAAAACCTTACAAAGGAAGAGTAGAGGGACTTCCGGGTACCGAGGGCCACAGCGGCTGCTAGTTCCCCATCTCCCAAGGTTTCTCCCCAAAACAAATCAGAACAAGAAGACTGGGAAATAACTCTGCCAAAACCACAGCGTCAACAAACTTGAAAGTAGAGACTGTAAACTTTAGAATAACTGTAAATAAAAAGAAAACACACGGAATTACAGCGCGGACCTCCCGCGCCCCTGCCTCACCCTGCCCTGCACAGGCTCTCTGCCGAGAAAACCCGGGAAGAGGAAAGAGGGGAGTTGGCAGTGGGGCCCAAGGTTGATCTAGAACCTCCCTCTGAAAGACCAAGTCCTTCCACAGTCTGAAAATCCTGGGAAAATGCCCTGGGAGAGCAGAGCTTAGACTACAAGGAAGGAACTTGAAAGTATCTGGGATTTGAAGGGTCAGTCTTTAAAATGCATAGATTCTGGGAGAGCGGGGAAAAAGGCCAAAATTAGTGAGAGGCGTCCTGGCAATTGACTGATGAAGGGGGAAAAAGCAAAAGGGAATAATTTAGGGTCTTGCAAGACTAAAAAGAAACAAGAAAATCGGAGGCCACAAACCCCGCCCCCCCCACCAAAAAAACAAATAAAAATCCACTAAAATATCTGGACTTTGCTATATTGACGTAAGAGCGTGCTCTTGAACTAGGAATCTTGTAAAACATCCCAATACCACAAAAATGAACAAGATTAATGGATCCATATGGAGCGACTATTAAAGAACAAAGAATCACAAAATAAAATCCAACATACATCTACTGAGGAAAATTCCCCCTGGAAAAAACAACCATGAATCCAAGGAAACAAAATATCCACAAAAAATTAATCATATCTGAGGTCACAAAGAAATGATCGGCATGTTCAATAAAGTAGAAATATTATAAATGATATTCTCTGAGCACAGTGTAATGAAATGAGAAATTATTAGCGGAGACAAAAACAAAATTAATTAGGTGAAAACCAACTGGAGGGAGCCGGCCAGTGGTGCAGCGTTTAAGTGCACGTGCTCCCCTTCGGTGGCCCCAGGGTTAGCAGGTTTGGATCCCGGGCCGCACAGACGCACCGCTTGTGAAGCCATGCTGTGGCGGTGTCCCACACAAAGTAGAGGAAGATGGGCACAGATGTTAGCCCAGGGCCAATCTTCCTCAGCAAAAAAAAAAAAAAAAAGGAGGAGGATTGACATTGGATGTTAGCTCAGGGCTGATCTTCCTCACAAAAAAAGAAAAAGAAAGAAAGAAAGAAAGAAAGGGCCGGCCTGTGGCTTAGCGGTTAAGTGTGCGCGCTCCGCTGCTGGTGGCCGGTGTTTGGATCCCCAGCGCACACCGACACACTGCTTCTCCGTGCTGAGGCTGCGTCCCACGTACAGCAACTAGAAGGATGTGCAGCTATGACATACAACTATCTACTGGGGCTTTGGGGGAAAAAATAAATAAATAAAATTTAAAAAAAAATGTTAAAAAGAAAGAAAGAAAAAAGAAAACAAACTGGAATACAAAATTTCTAAAAAATAATAATAGTGAAAATACTACATATCAGACTCTATGAGATACATTTAAAGCAGTGATCAGAGGAAAATTCATAGCACTAAACACTTATCATTAAAAATAAAAGAATAAAAAGAAATGAATTTAATTCCCAGCTCAAATAAAACTAGAAAAAGAATAAAATAAACCAAAAGAAAGTACAAAGAGAGAAAGAATAAAGCTAAAAGCAAAGATTAATGCAGTAGAGAATAGAAATTAGACCTGTATTTTTGGAAAAATTAACAAATAGACAAACCACTAGCTAACTTGTTCAAGAAAAAAGGAGGAAAGCACAAATATAACAAATAAGAAATGGCAAGAGGAAAATAACCAGTGGAAAAAGATATTTTCTTAAATCTTAAGCTCAATTTTCAGATGACAGAGTGAGGAGCTCAGTAGAACCTATCTCCAACAAAATAACCATTTAACTGGAAAAAATTATTTTTTAAAACCCAATTATTGGGCCGGCCCCATGGCTTAGCAGTTGAGTGCGCACGCTCCGCTACTGGCAGCCCGGGTTCGGATCCCAGGTGCGCACCGACGCACCGCTTCTCCGGCCATGCTGAGGCCGCTTCCCACATACAGCAACTAGAAGGATGTGCAACTATGACATACAACTATCTACTGGGGCTTTGGGGGAAAAAAAAAAAGGAGGAGGATTGGCAGTAGATGTTGGCTCAGAGCTGGTCTTCCTCAGCAAAAAGAGGAGGATTAGCACAGATGTTAGCTCAGGGCTGATCTTCCTCACACACACACAAAAAAAACCAAAAACAATTATTTAAAGTCTGGAAATTATTCTAAAGGCAGATCCAGCAAATGCAGAAGCATTTATTCAAGGAAAGCTTGGTAAGAACAGTGAGAGTCTGTGGCATTTGAGCCTCAACCCACTCCTTTCTCCTCCCTCCCACTCCCCCTTCTGTCTCACAGAAGCTCCACTCCAAGCACTGTACTCCAGGCTGTGCAGCCAAGAAAACAGGGGTTTCCCTCTCCCACCCCAATTCCCATTTCCCAGTGTAGAGCTAAGGTTTCACCCCAGGAGGGGCAGGCTATCCA